AATTTTACCTAGTTTTTAGAATGGGCATTTAAAAAAAAGAGAATAGTATATCAATGCCCCACATAGTCATGATCAGCATTTTGTCAGTCTTGTTCATAAATCTGCTTCCTTGAAATAAATCTGAAAACTGTCACATTTTTTTTTATTGATTTCAAAGAGGGAGAGGGAGAAAGAGATAGAAACATCAATGATGAGGGAGAATCATTGATTGGCTGCCTCATGCATACCCCACACTGGGGACCAAGCCCACAACCCAGGCATGTGCCCTGACCGGGAATCGAACCATGACCACCAGGTTCATAGGTCGACGCTCAACCACTGAGCCACACCAGCTGGGCACTAAGTAACTTTTTGATGATACAGACTTCCCTTACCTGCAGAAAATCTATGCGTCCTAAGGCACCCAAAAATAGAACCATTCCAGGTTTAAGCACAAAAGTTCTTGGAATAATGGAGTGTGTTGGCAAGACAATATTCACTTCTTTTTCTGTTAGAAGTTTTAAAATCTGTGAAGTAAAGGGTAGATATTTTGAAAGAATTACTTTTATTGAAAATATATGATTTACCTAAGAGATAAACAGTGATGAAAAAAATATTCCAGACTTCACACTAAACCAAAGTATGTCATAATTTGCTGTACATAAAATTTATTCATTCTTTTCATCAAAATGAATCAATTTACTAATAGCTCTACTCTTGTTTCACAACTGAATCTTGAGTAATGACAAAATAAATTTATGAGTGTGCGATTTTCTTTCTTATGTCAGTAGAATCCCCCTAATGTCAAAATTGGCATGAACTGAAAACAGTGATGATTCAATTCCAAAAGAGAATAAATGTTCTCACCATCAAGGCTTATAAGGAGCAGCAGTTTTCAGCTAAAGGTAAGGTAGTAAGTTATCTTATGTCCTAGTGGCAAGTATGTGCGAATTAAATGCAAAATGGTCACAGCATTTTAGGAACAGGTAAAGAGCTTGAACAAACTCTTCCTAAATTCCGGTCTTTAGTTTCCTTATTTACCCCAAATACTCAGCAAAAAGTGGCTTCTAAGGATGAAGAGTTCCTTTATAGACTAAAGAAAACAGAAAAGGAAAGCCAGGAAGTACAATATCCTAGTAAGACTTAAGGAACCAAAATTTGATTTAACAAGAAAAAGAATAGGGGAGGTAAAAAAAAATGGGATAAAAGAAAACTTTTGTGAACTTGCTTAAAGAAATAGAAAATATGTGATACCACCCTGGCTAGATGGCTCAGTGGTTGAGCATTGACCTTTGAACCAGGAGGTCATGGTTCAATTTCCAGTCAGGGCACCTATATGGGTTGGGGCTCGAGGCCCAGTATGGGGTATGCAGGAGGCTTCCGATCAATGATTCTCTCTCATCATTGATGTTTCCATCTCCCTGTCCTTTCCTCTCTCTCTCAACTAAAAAAAAAAAAAAAAAAAAAAAAAAAAAAAGCCACCTGCAGTAAAGAAACCTTTAAACACTTTTTAGACCCTAAGATTTCCATAAGACTTCCATTTCACAACAGAATTTCTTGGTTCCTTTTGGGAAACTGATTTAAGGCATCAAATAAATTAATCAATAAACTGACACTAGAAGCAAAGTACCTTAAACAACTTAAAGACTCTTTATATCTCAACACTTAAGGGTCTGATTCTGCTGGGCTAGAATATTTAGCAAATTCTTGCCTTTCTGACTATTTGACAAGAAGTGTATATGACTAAAGTAACTGCTATCCTTGACCTGATTCTAAAAGGGAAACATGAGTTGAAGTTAAAGTGATAATACCATTCTGAGAATGAAACTCTTAAGTAATCCTGATGAGGCAAAGGAAGGAAAAGTACCTAAGAAACCAATGTTGTTTCACAGGGAGATACAGAGATAATTAGGTGAATTAGATACTGGTCAGTAACCAGATTCAATGGAAGCTGATTAATAGCTCTGAGGTAAGGCTGTATCCTGGCTGTACACTTGAGTCAATGAATGGATGATGATCATTCATGATGATGATCAAAACTGCAAATAAATAAAAAGTTGTGAGACTTTCAGTGGATGGAGCATTGGCCTGCAGACCAAAGGGTCCCAGGTTTGATTACAGTCAAGGGAAAGTACCCTGGTTGCAGGCTCCTCCCTGGCCCGGATCCTGGTTGGGCATGTACAGGAGGCAATCAATTGATGTGTTTCTCTCACATCCATAGCTCTCTGTCTTTTCCTTTCTTTTCCACTCCCTCTAAAAAAATAAAAAATTAAAAAAAAAATCAATGGGGAAAAAAAATGTACAAGGGCAAGACAGGTAACGTTAATCTTGTTCTAAATGATGCCAAAATGAGGGCACTCATACAAGAAATTCCATTCTTTTTATTTTTTAAATCTTCACCTGAGATGTTTATTGCCTTGAGAGAGAAAGAGGGGCAGACAGAGAGAAAATATCGATGGGTTGCCTCCCATACGCACCCTGACCAGGGATAGAACTTGCAACCTTTTTGGTGTATGGGACGAGGCTCCAACCAACTGAGCCACCTGGCCAGGGCAAGAGAAATGTCATTCTTAGTGTCATAATCTTAACAACAAAAACAAATTAGAAAACATTCTGAAAGGGGCCTGGTTGATGAATAGCTTATCTCTCAGAGAGAACACATGTAGAAAATAAGGACAAGTAATCTGGATTATGTCAGCATAGAAAATATTCAATGTTTGTTGGATGAACTAATGAAAGAATAGGGGGAGGAAGAGATAGGACATTATACTTTAACATATTTCAAAGCTTTGAGGAACAATGGGTACAAGTTATAGGAAGACTGTTCAGCTCAATACAAAGAGCAGGTCAGAATCACACAGGTTACCCTGGGCGGCAAGGTGACATTGCTTCAGCTGATGAGGAGTCACTCCTCACTTCAGTTCAAGCTGGGTGCCCTCTGATGGATATGTTATAGAGGTACTTCAAGCATGGAATAGGTGGCAGGACTGTAGTAATATTTATAATTTCTTCCAACCTCAAAATCTAAGATTCTATACATGTCTCCCTAACTAAGGTAACAAGCACAATGACACAAGTAGGGTGTAAACAGTGAAGCCCAACAAATTAAATATAGAACTTGATGGCATATAGTTTCATCCCTGAACCATTTCTATGAATGAATCAGAACTGAGTCTATCATGAAAGTATATCTTCTTTTTTGTGTTCTACTAAGACAGTACTCATGCAATTGAAAGTTAATGTTCCTACAGTTCAAGTGCCCAATAGTTGATGAGTGGATAAAAAAGCTGTGGTACATTTACACCATGGCATACTACGTGGTTGTAAGAAAGAAGGAACTCTTATCCTTCGTGACAGCATGGATGGACCTGGAGATTATTATGCTAAGTGAAATAAGCCATTTAGAGAAGGACAAATATCACTTGATCTCACTTATATGTAGAATCAAAAGAACAATATAGGACCAGAGGCATAATTAAATAGAATAGACTGACGGATCTCAGAGGGGAGGATGGGAAGAAAGCAACCAAAGAATATATATGCATATATGCATAACCCATGGACACAAACAATAATATGGTGAAGGCTTAATGGGAAGGGGGGTGGGGCAGGGTGAAGGGAGGGAAAGGGTGGAGAAATTGGGGGACATCTGTAACAATCAACAGTAAGAGAAAGAAAATAAAATTAATGTTTTTAAAACACATCAAATACATACACAATTTTCCTTTGTAATTCCAGGGGTGTCATAAAACCAGTGGGCATCTTTCACATCTTCTGGGGTCAGTTCTACTTTTTTGGTGGATTTATCTGTAACCATAACAGGTTCATTTTCCATGTCATAGGCAAGTGAATCAGCATCAAACTCAAAGGCAGCTTCATTCTTTTGTTCTTCTGAATACAAGAATGTTCTTCCAACTCTTCCTAGAATAAGTTATATTGGAATAATTAGTTACTCCTTTAAAGCCTTTGATTCCAGACAGATAATTCTTATGTTTGCATCAAACAAGTTACTAAAACTATGAGCTATAAAAGTGAGACTACAATGATATATAGCTTTGATTTTTTTAAAAAGGCAGTGGGGGCGTGGGAGGTAGAGACATAGAAGCATCAAACACTGTCCGCTAAGAGATAAACCAAAGGACTTGTATGCATGCATATAAGCATAACCCATGGACACAGACAGTAGGGAGGTGAGGGCTTGTGTGGGGGCTGGGAATGGCTGGGGAGAGGTCAATGGGGGAAAAAGGAGACATATGTAATACTAAACAATAAAGAATTTAAAAAAAAATCATCAGGCCCTAGCCGGTTTGGCTCACTGGATAGAGCGTTGGCCTGTGGACCAAAGGGTCCCCAGCTCGATTCCGGTCAAGGGCATGTACCTTGGTTGCAGGCTCCTCCCTAGCCCGGGCCCTGGTCAGGGCTCATGCAGGAGGCAATCAATTGATGTGTTTCTCTCACATCAATGTTTCTCTCAGTCTTTCCCTCTCTCTTCTACTCTCCCTAAAAGTCAATGGAAAAATATCCTCGGGTGAGGATTAACAACAACAACAACAGCAGGAGTCACACTCTTGCATTGATCAAGTGTGTGCCTGGCTGTGTACATCGCGTATGAGGGAAATTACTGTAAATCAAACTGTTTTTAGTAAATGAAGGTTGAAAAGAGATACCAAGGAAAGGGAGCATCTATTTTACAGCTGCTGCATGGAGTCAACAACTGTACTGTTCTGCACGGAGGGGCTGTATCTTAGTGGAAATGCTTTTACTGCTGTATTTCAGGTTGCTCAACAAAGAATTTTAGCATAGACCACACAAGAGTTTCTTGTAGAAGATGCTTACCTACTACATAACCATGCTTTTTTAAGAGATTAAGTTGTTTTCTTTCTAGCTGACTAAGATCTTCTTCAGCTTCAGTTGCATATTTTTTCAGCCTTTTCCCCCTTTCAAACATTCTGTAAGGAGTTGGGTTGCAAATAGGAAACTTCAGAAGGTTTAGTGTGGTACCTGAAATACCAAAAAATATATTTTAATAAAACTGCACAAGGGAATATGGGGCAGAAAAGTAACATTTCTGAGGAGCTACACACTGAATTGGGTACTGTGTTTTATTTCACTGAACTTCATGACAAAATTATTCTTACTTTATAGACGAGGAAATAGGTTCAGAGACTGGCTTACAGGCTCAACCAGGTTGTGAATCCCAAATCTGCAGATCTGATTTCTTTTCATTTTCACATACTACCATCTTACATAAAAGCACTTCTGTGAATAGTTCAGCCCAAGTCCACAACAGGTAAGTTAAACACTGATTTCGAAGGAACAAATGAGGCAGTTTTGTCAAATGTTAAATACAAACAGGGTCATAAAAGGACCCATTTTGTAATTACAGAAGTTTGTTAAAACCATAAAATCGAGCCCTATTCAGTTTGGGTCAGTGGATGGAGCATTGGTCCATGGACTGAAGGGTCCCAGGTTCAATTCTGGTCAAGGGCATGTACCTCAGGTTGCAGGCTCAATCCCCAGTCTCAGGTCTGGGCTCATGCGGGAGGCAACCAATCAATGTTTCTCTCACAGTGATGTTTCTCTCTCTCTCCCCCCTCCCTTCCACTCTCTCTAAAAATCAATGGAAAAATATCCTCTGGTGAGGATTAACAAAACGAACACACCACAAAATGGACATTTCTTTCAACAAAGCCACACGTCGTACTGCATTAGTGAATTATTCAAAGGTTAAATGTGTAGAGTATACTGATCACACGAATAAACTCAAGATAGTGGAGGTAGGTTTAGAAAGTCCAAGGACTTCCATGTACACATCCAAAGTAAAGCTCCAAGGGAAACCTCAAGGAGAACAGGGACTTTGCCGCCTGGTTTATCTCTAGTGCCTGGAACAGTGCCTGGAATATAGAAGAGCTCCATAGATATTTCTATTAGAAAATGACTGCAACTACTACATTTCCAAGCACTACGTTGACACAGAAGAGAGGTATTATTAAAGTAGGGAGAGAATTATTAACGGGAAGGCTACAGACAGTTCCTGGTGGACATTAAGCATCTCAGAAAACGCAGGGGGCGGACCCCCTAAAGCTCACCAGGCCAAGAGGAGATGGTGGCTCGGTCGATAGCCTCGGCGCCCTTGGCGATGCAGTAATCCGACTCCAGGAGCGTGTTGAAGAGAGTAGACTTGCCCGCGTTGGTGGCGCCCACCAGGTAGACGTCGCCGCGGTAGCGCCAGGAGCGCTGCAGGGCGGAGATGAGCTCTTCCACTCCATACCCGGTCTTGGCGCTGATCAGCCGCACGTCCCTGAGGACAGTACGGGACTTGGCCGAAGGACTCGAATTCTCTTCCCCACCAGGTGGCCCGCCCCGGCCGGGGGCCCGCTGGAGCCCGGCGCGGGCACAGTCGTCCCACA